TTGGAAAAGTCTTGACCTGGAGTTGTGCCTTTTCAAGGTTTTATATCATTCTCACCAATCTTGTGAACTATTGATATTTTTAAAGATATAAGCTCATCCCGATGTTACAGTCATCGAGACCTTTCATTTGAGTACCCACATCAATTTATCATATATTTTATATATTTATGTATATAAATATATGAAAAATATATCAAAATGCATGTGGGTACTCAAATGACAGCTCTTGATGAGTGTAACCCCAGAATGAGTTTATATCTTTAAAAACGTCAATATTTAAGAAATTACAGGGCATTTTAATAAATATCTTGTGAACTATTAACATTTTTTAAAATATAAGCTCATCCCGATGTTACAGTCATCGAGACCTTTCATTTGAGTATCCACATCAATTTATCATATATTTTATATATTTATGGATATAAATATATGAAAAATATATAAAAAATACATGTGGCTACTCAAATGAAAGCTCTTGATGAGTGTAACCCCGGAATGAGCTTATATCTTTAAAAATGTCAATATTTAAAAAAGTACAGAGCAATTGAACAAAAGTAATTATTTAATAAATCAAAATTCTAATTGTTTATAGTTGATAAGTCACGGCAGTCACATAGTGACTGCAAGGTTGCTAGTATCAATTCCAAATGAAATTATTTAAAAAACAAAATAGACTTACCAAAGTGTCTCTTAAATAATTAAGATCTTTCTCGCAAGAGAGTTCCGGCAATCCAGTTGATATCATCATAGCAAAAAGTGAAACAATCAACCCGCCATGACACCTTAATACCGAGAAAGCCGTTTCACAGTACTCCTGAAACCTCTGAAACTCCGGAGCTTGACTCTTTTTCGCTTGTCCCTTATTAATAACATGAACAAAGTCATTAGTGAGCACAAAAGGTACACGCTCACGCTTGACTCCAAATTTTTCTTTGAAGTGACCTAGAATATGACCGAAGTCCACATGGAACAACTGTCCACTTTTCTTCACCATAATATTATCCGGATGGCGGTCAGCTATTCCGAGAATATAAGTCGCGACACTGTAGCCCGTGCAACTGAGAGTAAACTCTTCAATTGCTTTATCGAGCTCTGATTTTGTTGAATTGTGATCTTTGAGCCAAGCGATCAATGAACCGCACCTAAAATAATTAATTCAATTAAACTGTGTTTCTTAAATAAAAAAAAAATGTTTCCAAACATTTAAAAATACAAACTTGAAAGCAGCTGTAGCTGAAAAAATATTTTTTTCTTTTTGAATATTAGCAATTGTTTCAGCATTCAAGACAACTTCAATCATCCCAGTTTTATGATCAGTAGATATGCAATTATATAAATTCATACGAAAGTCTAAGCCTTCTTCCTTCCATAATTTATCCATTATTTTAAACATCTGTAATGTCAACATATCTTGTCTCAAATCATCTCCGTGTTTCATGATAACATAAATATCTTCTCCAAATGTGTCTGAATTTTCAAACACAAGCCACAGTGGTTTCATTTTACTGTCCATAATTCGACACTTTTCAGCTCGGATTCGTCGCAATCGATAGCGCGGGTCCAGTGGATTTAATACATTAGACAGCGCTTCTTGGCAATGCTCTTCTTGTAAAAAATCGTGCAAATATTGCAGCGCAGCTTTACGATCTTTTCTTAGCTTTATTTGTTCAGATAAATTTTTTAATTTATTCAACAATTCAACTTGTTTCTTTAAATGTTTCATATGTTGTTGAGCTCCTCGGCAATAAGCTTCAAGTATTAATCCAAATCTCACTGATACCGACGCTACGTGCATTTCAGGCCTAAGATAAAGGATTAAATATTTCATTTTAATAATAAATAAATTGAACATTGAAAAATTTTAGATAAAAACTTACCTGAGATGCCAGAATAAATAGTGACCTATCCTCTGGTTATCCAGCGCTCGCCTTAGCAAGAATTCAGTGAGATCACACGACAAGTAATTTTCGTGCTTTAACGCTTGAACTAATTGTAGCAAATAAAGATTTAGTTCTTCATCTCTCAGGTCTTTCAAACAGCGAACAGCGAAACTCCTGACATTTTGGTCCGCGTATGCAAAGTCCAGAAGCTCAAGAGCTTTCTCCACCGGGAGTTTCGGCCATTGCTGGATTAAAGCGGTAGCTTCAGCTACTTCTCTGTGATCATTCCACTCGACACACTGCAGCAATTTGGGTAACAAATTCGGCATTTTAGTCAGACACTGTCTTCTCAAAGCCCACATTGTCTTTTTTTCTTGTTCATGAAGCTCGTGGAGTGGATAGCGGTCTGCTAATAATTTTAATTGTTCCCATTGCTGTTCGTTAGCTTCTAATTCAAGGCTACGGTCTTCAGAAGACTCGCGTAATTTAGCTGCATACTCTACGAGTTTCTCGGGTGTTGGGTAGAGAACGGATTTATCTTTTCCGTAACTATAAGTAATTTAATGACATCATTTAATTTTTTATAAAAAAAATCTTGTGAAATATTTTTAAAGATATAAGCTCATCCCGACATTATACTTATCGAGACCTTCCATTTGAGTACCCACATCAATTTTTCATATATTTTATATATTTATATATGAAAAATATATCAAAATGCATGTGGGTACTCAAATGAAAGCTCTTGATAAGTGTATTATCGAGATGAACTTATATTTTTAAAAACGTCAATAATTAAGAGAGTACAGGGCATTTTAACAAATATCTTGTGAAATATTGACATTTTTAAAGATATAAGCTCATCCCGATGTTACACTCATCGAGACTTTTTATTTGAGTGCCCACATCAATTTTTCATATATTTATATATACTAGAATTTAAATTTACGCGCGCAAGCGCGCGCCTTGACTATAGAGTTTGCATATATTTTCATGCTTATGATATATTCGACCAATCACGTTACGAATAGTTTGATGCCACATATATTTCATCTCAATTTTATTATAGGATTATATATATGTATAAATGAAAAATATGTCACAATGCATGTGGGTACTCAAATGAAAGCTCTTGACGATTGTAACCTCAGAATGAGCTTATATCTTTCAAAATATCAATATTTAAGAAAGTACAGGACATTTTAGCAAATATCTTGTGAAATATTGACATTTTTAATGATATAAGCTCATCCCGACATTACACTCATCGAGACCTTTCATTTGAGTAGCCACATCAATTTTTCACATATATCATATATTAATATATATTATATATATGTATATATGAAAAATATATAAAAATGCATGTGGGTACTCAAATGAAAACTCTTGATGAATGTAACATCGGGATGAGCTTATACCTTCAAAAACGTCAATATTTGACTAAGTACAGTGCAATTTAACAAAAGTCACATAGTGCCTGCAAGGTTGCTAGTTTATTATTAATTAGTATGATAAATTATTTTTGAATTTATTTTTTACCTGGACTCTAGCTTCAGTTAACTGTATTCTCAATGCCAGCTCTTCACGGAAGAAGACATCTGGATAATGCGTTTTTTGAAACGCGCGTTCTAATTCTTCTAATTGGAAGTTTGTAAATGTTGTACGGTACCTTCGTTGTTTGTAACATCGGGATGAGCTTATATCTTTAAAAATGTCAATATTTAAGAGAGTACAGGGCATTTTAACAAATATCTTGTGAAATATTGACATTTTTAAAGATATAAGCTCTCCTTGACATTACACTCATCAAGAGCTTTTATTTGAGTACCCACATCAATTTTTCATATATTTATATATATGTATATATGAAAAATATATCATAATGCATGTGGGTACTCAAATGAAAGCTCTTGATGTATGTAACATCGAGATGAGCTTATATCTCTAAAAACTTTAATATTTAAGAAAGTACAGAGCAATTTAACAAAAGTCATTATTTAATAAAACAAAATTTTAATTTTTTTCAATTCACAACTCACGGCAGTCACATAGTGACTGCAAAGTTGCTAGTTCAATTTAATTGAATACTCACTTGGGAAATGTGAGCATAAGAGCAGCAGCTCGGTCTATGTGTGGATTAGATACAACAGTACCAAGTGGATGAAGTAAATCTTCATTTTGCATCTCTTCAGCATAAGTCCAGGTGTAAAGTGTCATTGCACCTGTTTTTAACTGAGACTTGAAGTCATAAATAGCTGTATTAGCCCACCACATTGCATTTATAAAGTACTCTTGTTTAGAATCTTTTATCAGTCTACGATTTTTTAGGCCTTTTCCTGATTTGCTTAACTCGTAAAGGACAAAACACAGCTTCGCATTCTTAGGTATGTCTTTAACACGAAGATCAAATTTAAGTGTTTCATCCCAGGTACAACTACCGTCTGCTGAAACGGTCATTTCTTTGGTTTTTCGACTCTCGCAGAGTGATTTACCACCGTGAAATAAACCAGCTTGTACTCCGACCTTTAAAAATTAAATTTGTAATTTATTATTACAAATTTTTATAATAGGAAAAAAAACTTATTTTTATTAAAATAAATACCTCGACAGTTCGATGAGCAGCGTCACAGTTTAATCGTGAAATTCCATTGACTGTAAACTCGAAATAATTATCAAGTTTAAGCGCGGATATATGTTTGCCTTTTTTCCGCAACGTTAAAGTTGAAAAAGTTGGCCGTGATCGCTTAAGTGAATCCAGTTCTGGATTTTCTAACGAGTAATCGTTGTCGATCATAACATTGCGAATGCTTACTGTTATCAATGTTGGTGACACATCCTTAGATATACAATCTTGAATGTATGTGTATTGAATTAATGGATGCTCGCCAATTAAATATTCTTCTTGGCCGCATATCTTCAGTGTAAAATCATTCGGCTTTTCACCCTTTGACATCAGTGTGTTTGCACGTTTGTTTAATATTAAAACTATTAATTGATATGGTGTTGTATCGTGAGATATTTGGAAGGTGTATGTCGTCTGAAATAGTAAGTATTATTATAATAATTAAATTAAGAATGCAATTATAAATGCAATTTTTTTTTAATTAATTTTCTAGACCTGGTTTATTTTGAAAGAAAAATAAAAAAATTGTCATACTTCTGTTAATTTCAATGTCATATTTTTATGATAATGAAATTGAGAGACAATTGATAATTTTTATAATTTTTTTTAATAAATAAATTGCACTACAAAAAAAAATTAATTTAAAAATTCTATCTTTAGAAACTCTAAAAAATTATAAATGCAATTTTTTAAAATTAATTTTCTAGACTTAGTTTATTTTTCAAGAAAAATTAAAAAAATTGTCATATTTCTGTTAATTTCAGTGTCATATTTTTTTAATAATGGAATTGAGAAACAATTGATAATTTTTTAAATAAAAATAAATTATACTGAAAAAAAAATTTATTTTAAAAATTCCATTTTTAAAAACTCTAAAAAATTATAAATGTCATTTTTTAAAAATAATTTTTTTGGTCTGTCATGGATTATTTATTTAATTAATCAAAATTTTAATAATTAACTAAATTTAATTTCTGTAAAATTTAATTCAATAAGTTAGGAATTTATTTTATCGACAACCCTGTAACGTAATTAATTTAAAATCCCAAACAAACTTGAAGTTTGAATGACCGTTACACTGTAAACAGAAAAAAGTGCTGAATTTCATCAATGATTGAGTGAAATAAAAAAAATAAAATCATATCTCAGTGGAAGAAAAGAAATCATATCTTAGTGGAAGAAAATTTCTCATTTATTTAATAATTTACGAAAGTGAATTTCATTGATAATAAAATAAATCATCCATCGCATCACCGATCTTAACCTAAAAGAATGTCGACGCTGGGGAATAATGAGAGTTTAATAAAATTCAATGACAGCGAAATCATAGACGCTGATGAAATATCTGTCCTAAGAAGACAAGTCAATCTATTAACATCAGAAAATGAAAGCTATAAACAACAAAACCACTTGCTCCAGGGTAAGCTGTCAGCAAGTGCTACAGTGCAAAATGAACTGCTTGAGAATGTTGAATCACTTGAAGAGTCATTGAAAAAAAAAACTGAGTCTGTCGAGCAAAAAATACGGTTAATTGAAACAAAGTATGTTACTATTAATTCTCAGCTGATTATGACAATACAATTAAATTAAAATTAATTAAATAATTTACTCTTTAAAAAATTATCAAATGTCTTTTAATTTCAGTCTCATAATTGATTGCTAATTCGATTTTTAAGAATAATGACTAATGGATATACTTTTTCAGGCATGGAGTTAAAGCTAAAGAGTTGATGGATCGTATCACTGAACTAGAGAGTGATTTATTGATGAAAACTGATAAAATAAATTGTTTAGAAGCTAAATTAAATGAAGCTAATGATAAGTTATTGCTTGCTGCTGATTCCGTTTCTGTAATAAATGCAAGCAGAGTTGATGAACCAGATTCTGATGATAGAGTTAAAGAGTTATTGCAATTGTTAGCTGATGAGAAGGATAAATCGTTTAAATTGGAGCAAGCACTTGGGGAATTAGAACAAAGAATGTCTGAAATGAGAGAAGTTTATAATGTAATTATTAGCAATTATTTTAATACTCAAATTAGCCAACGTATTTTATTTTTTTGCAAATGAAATTTTTTTTTAAAATAATTTTTTCAATAAAAAAAATAATTAATGAATAATTTTTTAATAATCTAATTGATTTATTAAATTTATAGGCTACTAAAGAGGAATTGAAAGAAAAATCAAATGTACTAGAAGCTACAAGAGACGAATTAGCTGAATGTAGAAGTGAATTAATGTTATCAAAAGCTACTCCATCTGATCAACAGTCTAAAGGTTTTTATAAATATCAATTTTTTTTTTTTTTTTTTAATTTAAATAACTACAATTTATAAATTACTATTTTTAGGTATGAAATTAAAGTTAGCAGCTGCTTGACAATTCTTTAATTTTTTTTTTTAACAAACAAATTATATGAAAATTAATGTAGCAGATATTTAATAATTTTAAAAAATTTATAACAAATAAATTATGGCAAAAAAAAATAAGAAAAAAAAATGGACATCTAGAAATTTAAAAAAATAAAAAATGCAATTTTTTTAAAATGATTTTTCGTAAAAAATCTTTGTGTTAAATAAAATTAAAAAATTGTCAAGTGACAGCTAACTTTAATATCGTACAAATTATTTATAAAAAATTGCATTTTTAATTTTTACAATTTTTGTACAATTTTTTTTGCCATAATTTATTTGTTAAAAATATTATTTAAGTTAAATAAATAAATCTTTTGTAAATTAATTATCATTTTTTAGGTAACTCATTATTTGCTGAAGTCGAAGATCGACGTAAAAAATCATTGGATACAATAACTAAATTAAAAGAAAGTCTTTTAGAAGCTAAAAAAGCTCTCAGTGTAAAAGAAGGAGAAATAAAAGCGTTGAAAGCTGAAAAAGCGGCTCTTCTTACGACGATTCAAGACGACAGAGACGATCAAATTCAGCATAATGCTAATTTAATAGAAAAATATAAAGATAGAATTTCAGAGCTGGAAGTTAAGTTGAAAGATCAGCAAAAAAAACTCTGGCAATTGGAGAAACAGAAGCAACCAGTTGGTGATGAGTTTGTGTAAGACTTTATTTATTTTTATTTTTATTTCAATTTTTTAAGGCTGATTTATTGAGATAATTTTATTAATCAGGTACTTCGACAACGAGCTAAGTGCCAAGAGAAAGGAAATAGAAGAACTTTCATCACAGCTTGAGGGTAAATCAATCAAAGCTTTGATTGAAGAGGAAATAAAGTGTAAAACAAATGAGCAGTTGCGTTATTGGCGACGCAAAGCTGTTACCAAGGAGGTGGCTCTTTGCTTTACTATTAAACTTATTTTTAATATTAATTGTAAGTGTTTTAAATAATTAATTTGGACCTTGATTTTTTAGGCACAAGTTGAAGCAATTAAATGTCGATTAGAAACAGATTCTTCGGTGATTAATCATGAATTATTGAGACTAATTCAACAGACTGGTAGGCCGGATAATAATTTATGTGAGGAAGAAGCTAATTCATCGGTAAATGTTAAAGTAGTCGACTGTACGCTGAATAACACTGCACGCGTTATAGAAATTCCGAAATTACTTGGTAAAATTAAACCAGCCAAGTCTGTTGATGAATCTTTGGTCATTTTTGAAAAACCAAAACCGCTGGACAGTGATTTGATGGATTTTGTGGAACCAGCTTCAGGCAATGTTGAAGAAATTGAGAAACCGAATGATTCTGTTTCTTTGTCGGAAAAAAATCACGTAGAAAAAAAAGGGATTTTAAAATCTACAAAAGATGTTTGGAAAACAACCTTTAGTTCAGCTTGTGATGTCAGTATGGGCAAAGAAAACAAGAGTTTAAGATTTTCTGATGACACTGCGGATCCAGAGCCCAAAAAGCTGACTAAACAAATTAGTAATACTCCGAAATACCGAATTATACACGCATCAAGTAAATCTAAGAATGCTAAATAATATTTTTTACAATGTATTTTTTGTCTATCTTTGTCTAATTATTTACAAGTGGGGTAAAACCTATTTTTTGCTATATGTAGGAGAAATGATAACATTTATTAATTCTTTTTTTGATTCTGCTTGTTTTTACGGAGAATTTTTGATAAAAAATGTCGAGAAAGAAAAAAATAAAGATTCGATAGCTTTTTTTCCTTCAAAAGTTGGAAAAAATTTTGGCTCTCATGTTTTTGAATAAAATTTATATTTTATCTTTTTTTGATATATTTTTTTTTTGAAAAGTACATAAAAAAACCAACAATAAAAAAAAAAACAAGTTGAATATCACAATTTTCCAAAAAATTTTTTAATTTTTTTGAAAATTTATTAAAATTGTGATAGTCAACTCTTTTTTTAAATTGTTCACTAGAATTTAATCTTCGCGCGCAAGCGCGCGCCTCATATTTATTATCATAGATAGATAGATAGATAGATATATTTTATTTGTCCTTAGAGCCGAAGCTCCCTCAAGGCCATCGATAAGCAATACATTTTTATACATATACAAGTATACAGTATTAAAATACAATTACAATAGCCAGCGCTTTCTCAGTAAGTGTTGACTTCCAACAGTTACGGTTAATTTATCCATCAAGTTGGCGGTAATTCTTCACTCAACAACAGTTGTAAGCAAATTGACGGAAATCTACGGCCGCAACTTGAATACAAGTTAGCAATCAAACTTGTAGTTAAATTTCCTTTCAACTTTACTACAATTTGACGGAAATACTTGTACAGCAAGTTTTCACGTCTATTTGCAGAGTAAGTTATAGGTAACTAATAGGTAATCGCTCGCTTTGCCAAGTCTGTCCGTCAAGTTTGCTTCAAATTGCGGACGTAGATTGACAGTAAGTTATAGGTAAGGTGGCTATCAGGGATAGTTCTATAATTTTGAGAGCAAGATTTATGGTATATTTGTGTCGTTTATGTATAGTATATTCACTTTCAACCAATCAGAATGAGAATATTTATTTTCAACCAATCACATCACGAATAAATTGGTTTCACATACATTTCATCTCAATTTTATTATGGGACTAGAATTTGAATTTACGCGCGCAAGCGCGCGCTTTGACTATAGAGTTTGCATATATTTTCATGCTTATGATATATTCAACCAATCACGTTACGAATAGTTTGATGCCACATACATTTCATCTCTATTTTATATTAGGACTAGAATCAAATTTTCGCGCGCAAGCGCGCGCGTCATATTTATTGTTACGATATATTTATGTGTCGTTTATGTATAGTATATTCACTTTCGACCAATCAGAATGAGAATATTTATTTTCGACTAATCACATTACGAATAAATTGGTTTCACATAACATTTCATCTCAATTTTATTATGGGATTTTTTCAACAAAAAAAAAAATATATCAATAAATCAAATAGAAATTTTGTTAAAAAAAAATAAAAATTAAAATGGTTGACCCCACTTGTAAATATTAACTATTTGTATATTTTAATAATGAGCAATTATAATAAATTTTTACAGTATAAAAAAATAGAATTTTTAATAAACTCACCTCGGTATTTTCAAATTTGGTAACTACAACCATATTGCCATCTTTAAGTCGAGATTCAATATTTTTGGGTATGTCTGGCGTTTGTGCCAGTCTGGGTCGAAACTGATACCGAACTTTTTCCTCCCACTGTTTATTACGTCTCGCTTGTGCATATTCATCCCCGAGAAGTCTGAGTTTCCATCTGAAGTCATTAACTTCGGAGTTTTTCAATGAAGCAAACTCGTGCAAACCTTTGCCGATCAATGAACCTATTTGTGAATCCAAATTTCTGTCGCTTTTTACGCATTCTCTCTCGATGACTTTTAATACAGAACAGAATGGTTTGACATCACACAGTCGACTTTCGTCTCTTATTTCTTCGGCTTCGGCGTTTGTGTTTATGCATGAAAATACATAAGATGGTGCGTCTTTTAGTGTACCATGGAGTGGATATTTACTTGCTTCTTCCCATAAATCCTAATGAGAATTAATATTCAATTAAATAATAAGACTTTTTATTTAAGAAAATATTTGCACTAATTTATTTGTTACAAAAATAATAAAATATCTATTAAACTAATTTATGAAAATTTAGGCTTAATGCCTTGGCATATAAATTAAATAAATTACAAGTATAATTTTAAAATCTTCTACATGTAAAATTTATTCTTTCAATTTTTTTAATAAAAAAAAAAATAATAAAAATTCTGAATTATCGGCATATTCAATTGTCATATTTTTCTTGCTATAATTTACTTACTAAAAAATTTTTTTTAATCTTCAGTAATGTTTCTTAATTCAAGTATCATATTTTTAGAGTAGTTTTAAATATTATTAAAAAAATGACATTAAAATAAGCAGTCACAAATTTAATTTTAAAAATAATTTCTAAAAAATAGGATTTTTAATTTTTTAAAATATCTAGTTAATTTTTTTTGTCATAATTTAAAATGGTATAAAACAATTGCTAATTTATGTATAAATTACAAAGACTCTTTTATTTTTTCATTAATCAAATTCTAATTAATTTTTTTTATCAATTAAATTACAACTAAAAAGATATTTCTAAAAGATTGCACTTATAGTTTTTCAAGTTTTTTACATGTGACAACTGTTTTTTTAATTGATTAATTGAAATTTTTTCAATAAAAAATTTCTAAAAATTTTGAAATGTCAGCTAACTTGATTTTCATTTAAATTACAACTAAAAAGATATATTTCTAAAAAATTGCACGTATAGTTTTTTAATGTGAAATTTTTTTTTAAATTTTTTATTCAAAATATTTTCAATAAAAAATTTCTAAAAATTTTGAAATGTCGGCTAACTTTATTTTCATAATTAATGTTATTTAATTTTAAATACTCTCTATTGATGTATATTGCCGATAGGCGTATTGTTGATTAAAAAAATAAATAATTTATTAGTTAAAAAAATTTATAAAACTATAGAATGAATTGAAATAAATAAAAAAAAATGTTACCTCTTTAATTTCACCAAAAGTGGTATTGCGATTGACTTCTAATGGTATTATAACACCATTAGGCATAAGGCATGTCAACTCAACATCGTCTGATGGGGTTTTAACCCAAAAGTCGTAATTATAAGCCTTGGGTATGTGAACCATTATGATAATAATTATCAATAGCTTGTTATGATGATGATAAATACCAAGAATAAAATGACTCAGACATCGGCAACATCACCATCAATATAACACTGCTTTTTTTCAACAATAAAATAATATTTATAAGACGTACTTATATTGATAACCGTATTAAAATGCCAGGGCCACAATTTGTTTCCATCATTAAGTTTGTAACAATGGATGCATGTACACAATAACAATAAATTATTATTATTTTGAATGTTATTTGTTGTGATGCACATTTGCGTATGCCAACTTTATTTTTTTCAATAACTTTTACTGTGTTTATCTGTTATTATTACAATCTTGATTATGGATTACGTTATTTGGCATTTAAATAACTAATAAAGTATATAATTGACGCACTATGATTCAGATTATAATTACTAATGTTGAATAATGTCACTCAGTTAGAATGTAAATATTATCATCGTACAATGTACGCAATAACGACACAGGTCAGCCATTATTTGTTTCGTGTTTGGATTGGTTTGGAATTAGGGTGGGCTAGGGAGAGGACGTTAAAGAGAAAATAAATTATTTCAAGATGGGAAAATCTTTGTTGGAAATTTACTTTCAATAACTTTCTTTTTTTCCCGCCGCGTGGCGCTGTAACACATTTTTAAATCCTTTAACGGATAAATCTGTTCACTCATTGTTTTTTATTACTGAGATGACAGCTTCAATTTTTTTTTGAGAATATTTTCAAATCAGAGAAGTGACAGATATTGTAATTTTATATGAAAGTTAAGTTAGCCGAAATTTAAAAATATTTATAATTTATTTTCATTAAAAAAAATTTTCATTTGCAAAAAACTTGAAAAACTATAATATAAGTGCGATTAAAAATAAATATTTTTTAGTTCTAATTTAATAATTGAAAAACAAAATATAAACTTCAAGTAACTTTACTATAATTAATTTTATAGCAATTAAATTATTGTGAAAACAATTTTACATGTGAAAATTAAAAAAAAAATCATTAGTGGAAATGTGTGAAAAGGTAAGCTGTCACTTGATAATTTTTTATAAGACTGAAGTTAGCAGACACTTGACAATTTTTTGATTCTTCTTTAAACATAAACTAGGCATCGAAAATTATATGATAATAAAATTAGTCAACGTTTTTAATTATTTGATTATTTTTTAATAATTAAATTAAAACAGAAAAATATTTTTAAAAAATTTCACTTACAGTTTTTGAAGATTTTTACAAGTGACATTTTTTTTTTAATTTTTTTGTAATAAATTTTTTAATAAAAAAAAATTCTAAAAATTTTCAAATGTCAGCTAACTTAATTTTCATGAAAATTATTTATAAAAAATGACACTGAAGTTAGCAGACATCTATAAAATTAGTCAACGTTTTTAATTATTTGATTATTTTTTAATAATTAAATTAAAACAGAAAAATATTTTTAAAAAATTTCACTTACAGTTTTTGAAGATTTTTACAAGTGACATTTTTTTTTTAATTTTTTTGTAATAAATTTTTTAATAAAAAAAAATTCTAAAAATTTTCAAATGTCAGCTAACTTAATTTTCATGAAAATTATTTATAAAAAATGACACTGAAGTTAGCAGACATCTAAAAATTTTTGATTTTCTTTTTTTTAATTAAATTACAACTAAAAAGATATTTATAAAAAATTGCACTTATAGTTTTTCAAGTTTTTTTACATGTGATATTTTTTTTTTAATTGTTTAATTGAAATTTTGAAATGTCAGCTAACTTCATTTTCATCATAAAAAACTCATTTATAATTTTTCGGAGCTTTTTAAAGATGAAGCTTTTAAATAAAAATTTCTTGCTATAATTTGTTTGTTAAAAGAATTCTAAAAATTATCAGATGTCTGTCAATTTCAGTATCATAATTTTTTAATTTTATTTAACGAACAAATTTTCACTCAGCTAATTTTATTTTTATTCATTGAAAATATTTTTCAAAGATAAGAATTTTTTTTATAAGGGCCAGTTTTTTAATTCAAGATAAAATTGTTATTGCCAGTATGTTTATATAGATAGATATTTATTTTGCATGGTATAACAGTTGAAACTGTTTTTTACAATTTTTCATCACAGTTTCTTAAAATTAAATCTGCATCTTAAGAATATTTAAAGCTTTGGTTCTAGCACCAAATTTACTTAAATACTTGATTTCGTCTTATTGTTAATATCACTTTTCACTAGCTTAGGTAATTTAGAAATTTAGAAACTTTTGGAACATTTTATGTTGAATCAAATTACATTAAAGGCTCTACAAACTAACTTTTATGGCACTTGTTGGTTAAAATTAAAATTAAAAGAATTTACTATAGCCTCTGAGAGGCAATTATAAAAAATAAATATTCTGCACTGGGTGTCTACTTCTTTGGCTGCCATCTAAACACCTTCGTTCAGGATTTGTTGGGCTACTGCATCATGTACTTCAGGCAAGGGGTCACCCCCATCTCTTGTGAGTTTTAGAAATTTACCAACGAGTTGGCAGATTTCTTGTACTGGTTCACCTCTTAGTGTCTGTATTAATAACCAGTCAAAGTCTGCTCCTGTTTTTCTACCCATCCAATTCAAAACAAAACTTCTCACCTCTGCCTTGACACTATTCTGTAATGTTCTGCATCTGAATATGTGCTCTAAGGTCTCTTCTTCACCTTGGCACAAACGACATAGCCAATCCCTGTAGCCCTTCTTTCCTGCCTTTCCTATGTTGCCGCATCTGATTCTGCACCAGGCTAATTTCATCCAACTTGGTGTTTTTCTGTCTATCCAATACGGTTCAGTTTCCATACAGGTCTTGAGGAATTTAAACCAAGGGTTGTAAGATGAATCCATGATTTTTTTGTTCTCTTCCTCCCTCATTGTGGCTTGAAGGTGGAGCAAGCCCTCTTGCAATTTCTGCTCTATCTGGCTCACTTCTACTTTATCCCATATCATCTTTATTATATCCTTGCAGCACATTTCTTCCAGGGCCTTGGTCAGCCTGCTACCCCACTTTGACGGCCTGCCATTCAAGATTCCTCTGCATTCTTCTCTCAGTACGACTTTTGGCCATCTGCCTTCCTCCATTCTCATCACATCTAGAAGATACCGGCCTGCTCTCTCTCTCTCTACAGATATATTTTAGGTTTTCAAGCCCGCCCTCACACCTCCAGATGTATTCTGGAGTGTTTCTGGCTAGGCCCATCGCTGCTTTACAGTATCTGCTATACACTGCTTCTATTGCCTTGCTGCCTTCCCAACCCCAAATCTCTACTCCATAAAGTGCCCCTGATCTTACCAGGGAGTTGTAGAGATACATCCTGTCTTTGAGAGAGTTCCTGCCTGTTCTCTCAATGAGCCCCCACGTAGAATTTAGGGCTTTCTTGGCCTTGGCTGCCATCTCGTTTATAATTATTTATTGCATTGTGTATTGTGTTCTCTACGAAAAATTTTTCTGAAGTTGAATATTTTAACCTTGGTAAGTTTTGAATTTTTATCATACAAAAATTGGTATTCCAATTTAATGATTGTAAGAAAATTGATTTAGCAGATATTTGATAATTTCAAGAATTTTTTTAACAATTAAATTATGTTAAAAAAAAATAAAAAATGCACTTTTTTGAATCAAATTTTTCTATTAAATAAAATAAAAAAAAAATCAAGTGACTGCTAAAATTAATATCATATGTACTAATTATTAATTAAAATTGATGTTAGCTGACAACTGTAATTTTTTGGATTTTTACAACAAATAAATTACTACAAAAAAAAAAAAAATTTAAAAAAAGGGAATAATAAATTTTTTTTGACATCCACAAGTGGAATTTTTTAGAAAATTTTTATTGTAATAATTTATTTGTCGAAAAAAATTTTTAAAATTAAGTTAGCCGACACTCAAAAATTTTTGATTTTTTTTAAATTGAAAATTAGAACTAAAAAACTATTTTTAAAAAATTTCAATCAAATAAATTATCAAAATTTTTAAATGTCGGCTAATTTAATATAATAATAAAGTTAGCCGACGTTTTTAATTTTTTGATTTTTTTTTTGATAATTAACTTAAAACAAAAAAATATTTTTTAAAAATTGCACTTGCAGTTTTTTAATTTTTTTAAAAATGAAAATTTATTTTTTTGTAATTATTTTTTTAATGAAAAAAAATCTTAAAATTTTTTAAATGTCGGCTAACTTAATTTTCATAAAATCATCAAATGTCAGCTTTCAATATTATTAAAATTGACTACTAATAAATAAAAAAAAATTACAAATTAAAAACAGGTAAATTAGGAAGATGATTCCATTAATAAATAATCAAACCCGGCGGATCACCAGAAAAATACGCCAGAAAGTACGCCAGTGAAGAAGACGATTCACCTTGGACAATAGAAGCAGGATAGTGAGGAACCTAGTCCTGCTTTTATTCCTAAACGTGGTATTCGCATGTATTAAATGGCTCTATGGAGATAGGAACAACATACAGCTGGGCCCTAAAAGCAGACTGTTTACGCAGATTCTACGACTGCAGTAATACACTGGTGAATGTCGCGGTGATGAGGACGAGAAATTGGGAAGCGAACCTCAGGTACACCTACGGGTACGCTCGTGCTGAAATGCTCGCCAGTTTCGCGATTGGACTAACTCAAGTATACCTTGCATTGATGGAGATCTTTCGTCCTGCGATACTGCTACTGATAAATCCAGGTGAAGTGGGACCCGAATGGATGATTGTGATCTCTGTGATGGGTCTGCTCCTCAAGTTAATTAACTATTACGTCAGCCTCTTCTTATACAAAAACAAAGAAAAATATCCCCTAATCACCAAGGAAACTATTTATAGCATTCTCGTAGATGTTTTCGGGTCCGTGGCTCTTGTGGTATCAGCAGTAGCGACGGAGATATTCAGATCAATGACTGCTGATTCAATTTGCTCAATAATAATTGCGTTGTGCATGATATTGAGTGTGGTGCCAGTGTTGAAAGATACTGGGGAGATACTGCTACAGAGACAGTCTGTGGAGTTGGACGATATTCTTCCTGCGTGTTATAGGAGAGTGCACGCGTTACCTAGAGTCGAAAGAGTGCTAAACGCTCACTTCTGGACACTACACAGCGATGGAGATTTTGTTGGCTCGCTGGTATTGGAGGTCGTCGATGTAGATACCTTTGATTCTAATGAATTAGTTCGACATGTAAGAACGATATTCGCTCAAGTTGATGAAAGACGTCTCACTGTTGAGCTGTACTATACGTATGACCATGTCTGAATTCCAAAATTGAACTAAAATTCTCCTTATTTTATCACAGTCTCTTTGGTTTAATAGAAACTAGCAACCTTGCAGTCGCTATGAGACTGCCGTAACTTGTAAACTATAAATAAATAAAATTTTGGTATATTAAATAATGACTTTTGTTTAGTTGCACTGTACTTTTTGAACCATTGACATTTTTAAAGATATAAGCTCATCCTGATGTTACTCTCACCAAGAGCTTTCATTTGAGTACCCACATGCATTTTTGATATATTTTTCATATATATAAATATATAACATGTATTTTAAAAATATAAGCTCATCCCGATGTTACACTCATCAAGAGCTTTTATTTGAGTACCCACATATGCATTTTCATATATTTTTCATATATACATATATATAATATATATAAATATATGATAAATTGATGTGGGTACTCAAATGAAAGGTTTTAATGAGTGTAACATCGGGATAAGCTTATATCTTTAAAAATGTCAATATTTCACAAGATATGTGTTAAAATTCCATGTACTTTCTTAATTATTGACGTTTTTAAAGATATAAGCGCATCCCGATGTTACACTCATCAAGAGCTTTCATTTGAGTACCCACATGCATTTTAATATATTTTTCATATATACATATGTATAATATATATAAATATATGAAAAATTGACGTGGGTACTCAAATGAAAAGTTTTAATGAGTGTAACATCGGGATGAGCTTATATCTTTAAAAATGTCAATATTTCACGAGATAAGAGGTCATTTCTTAATTATGTATCTAGAGATGGAGCATTTTCGAATGCAGCCTAAATATTTATTATGACAAATTGACTATTGGGGAGAATAATTTAAAACCTTGAAAATGCATAAATTCAAGTCAAGACGTTTCTAATGATACCTAATTTAACCATAAAAACCCATTTTATCACATAAATATATTAGCCACAAAATTAATCTTATTCTCTTAATAATATAGATTAATTGAAAATTAATTTTAGCATGAATAAATTTATTTTTATACATAGTCTATCCTATTCTATTTTGATGAGATCAGTCATTAGCATCGTACTGCACTTATTATAATTTACAGTGTACAATAACATAGAAATATTAATACGATGTAAAAAACTCTAATTACAGCCAGAATTATTTTTATCACTTAACTGTCTATAGGCGTATAAAAATTTTCAATAATTAAAGGAACAATCCAGTATGCGTGGAGAACTTATAATTTCATAAATAAATTCTCACTTAATTTAAATCATCGAAATTAACTGGTGTGTCTATCAGTTCTGTCCTCTACTTCCGGTACTTCACAGAATAAATTTACTATCTCCGTAATAATCCAACTAAGCCGAGTTCGAATTATAACTGTTAATTTTTAAACAGTTTATACAGCTCAATAATTAATTATTTATTTACAAATAATAAACATCACACTTGCGGTGAAAAACTGAAAAAAAAAAAAAATAAATCTTTTCTAAATAAATACCGGCTTATATAATAAAAACAAATATAATTAATTAAATAATTACCAGCGAGATCAGTGCGATATATTTAATAAAATCGAGTTTGATTTCCTCATTCTCAACGACTTTCTCTTGACAACTGTTTCTTCTTATTTTCCTTTGATTATACCAGTCAACCAGACTGCAAATGATATTTGCGTTTGACAATTCAATAATAAATACTTTTAAACGATGAGCGCTGCTGTACTTTGTATTCTGTTTGTTGCTAATAATAAATACCAGTTTATTATTGCTAAATTTCATTGCAGCTCTCAATAAACACATCTTAGTATTTTTTATAGCTTCACTGTAAAATAAATGAGAAAAAAAATTATTAATTCATATTCTTATTTACATACATAAAGATAATAAATAATCTTACTATAATTAATTATTTTTATAATTTAAAATACCAACAAAACAAAAAAAAAAAAAAAAAAAAAGTTTAATAATATAAATGCTGATAATTTCAAAGAAAATGCTCGATGAAAATTGATAGTATAAAAATAAATTTAAAAATAGTTTTATCCAAAAAATTTTCCACCAGATAAAAACTAATTAGTTAAAATTTTGCACGCCTCATAGTGCGAAGCGCGTGAGGTTGTGCTTTATACTCGACTCGTTAAGATATCAAGCAATTTTGTGATCTTTAAATGCCTCTATCACAACCATATTACACTTATACAATGATATAAGTAGATGTACACCGAAAAAACACTTAAATTAAACCATCTGTTACTTTCTAAAATCATTTCATGTTGCTATTTTGAAAAAAAAAAAAACGTTTTGAAAAAAATTTTACGTGGACGTCCGGATGTCACCCCATTTTGGATGTACCAACGATTACTCCCGAACAAATTGATATTTCAAGACCGGACCTTTTTTATTAGTTTAAGAATTCGATGAACTGGGTCCGTATTGCATATCAGTAGCCTAGCTTACGTATTT